TACACAAATTTACGAAAGATTTTACACAAATTTTACACAGATTTTAAATAAATTTTGCACAATTTACGAAAGATTTTACACAAATTTTTAATGCAGATTTAAATAAATTTGCACAAATTTACAAACGATTTTACACAAATTTTACACAGATTTACGAAAGATTTTACACAAATTTTACACAGATTTTAAATAAATTTTGCACAAATTTACGAAAGATTTTACACAAATTTTACACAGATTTTAAATAAATTTTACAAAAACTTATGAAAGATTTTACAAAAATTTTACACAGATTTTAAATAAATTTTGCACAAATTTACGAAAGATTTTACACAAATTTTATGCAGATTTTAAATAAATTTTACAAAAACTTATGAAAGATTTTTCAAAAATTTTACACAGATTTCAAATAAATTTTACACAAATTTACGAAAGATTTTACACAAATTTTACACAGATTTCAAATAAATTTTACCACAAATTTACGAAAGATTTTACACAAATTTACACAGATTTCAAATAAATTTTACACAAATTTACGAAAGATTTTACACAAATTTACGAAAGATTTTACACAAATTTTACACAGATTTTAAATAAATTTTACAAAAAACTTATGAAAGATTTTACAAAAATTTTACACAGATTTTAAATAAATTTTGCACAAATTTACGAAAGATTTTACACAAATTTTACACAGATTTCAAATAAATTTTACACAAATTTACGAAAGATTTTACACAAATTTTACACAGATTTTAAATAAATTTTACAAAAACTTATGAAAGATTTTTCAAAAATTTTACACAGATTTCAAATAAATTTTACACAAATTTACGAAAGATTTTACACAATTTTACACAGATTTCAAATAAATTTTACACAAATTTACGAAAGATTTTACACAAATTTTACACAGATTTCAAATAAATTTTACACAAATTTACGAAAGATTTTACACAAATTTTACACAGATTTCAAATAAATTTTGCACAAATTTCGAAAGATTTTACACAAATTTTACACAGATTTTAAATAAATTTTACACAAATTTACGAAAGATTTTACACAAATTTTACACAGATTTTAAATAAATTTTGCACAAATTTACGAAAGATTTTACACAAATTTTACACAGATTTCAAATAAATTTTGCACCAAATTTCGAAAGATTTTAAACCAATTTACACAGTTTAAATAAATTTTACACAAATTTAGAAAGATTTTACACAAATTTTACCAGATTTTAAATAAATTTTGCAAAATTACGAAAGATTTACACAAATTTTACACAGATTTTAAATAAATTTTGCACAAATATCTTTCGTAAATCTGTGTAAATTGTGTAAAATCGTTTGTAAATTTGTGCAAAATTTATTTAAAATCTGCATAAAAATTGTGTAAAATCTTTTCGTAA